AAAAAAAAAAAAAAAAGAAGTGAGGGTGGAAAGCATAACAGAATGAAGGGGATGCCAAGGTTTATGGAGAAAGACCAGCAGAAAAGTCTAATGGATACTGAACATGAACCATGTTGTTGAAAAAAGGATTATTTATTCCTTAGTTGTGGTTAATTGGGTTTTTCTTCACTACAAATTTTTGTTTGTTTGTTTCCAGACGTGATTTCTAGAATTTCATGCAAAAGAAGAAGCTAATAAAATCAATACACAGACATAATAGCGATTAAAGAAATATTTAGTAAATCACACTAAGTGTTCCGTTTCTTATCATCCCTGTGGTGATTTAGCTAAGAGAGATTGTAATTCTGAGAAAGTCCACTCCAGTGAACTGCTGAAAAATAATATTAAGCATTATTTTTCCTTTTATTTGCATTATGGATATAGAAAATTTAAAATTGTCCCTTTCTGTAGAGTTCCTTAATAATGACATCTATATCCTGGTTCCCTGGACATCTGGAAGAAGAGAGATCCAGGAAAGAAACGTGCTCTAGCAATTGTTGATATGCAGCCCATCTCGTTATATACATGTGCCACAGTAATCTATTATCCAAACTCTCTCCTTGAATTCAGAAAATATCCACTTTCATTTTCCTATGCTGTGGCCATTAGGGAAAAGAGATCTCTTTTTTATTAACTGATTTAAAAATTATAAAGACCATAAAATTTAATCATTGTAGGATTCCTTAGAAATTATTATAAATAACTTTATTTTTTTTATTTTATTTTATTATGTTATGTTAGTCACCATACATTACATCATTAGTATTTGATGTAGTGTTCCATGATTCATTGTTTGCCTATAACACCCAGTGCTCCATGCAATACGTGCCCCCCTTAATACCCATCACTGGGCTAACCCATCCCCCACCCCCCTCCCCACTAGAACCCTGTTTGTTTCTCAGAGTCCATAGTCTCTCATGGTTCATCTCCCCCTCTGACTTCCCCCTTTTCATTTTTCCCTTCCTACTATCTTTTTTTTTTAAACATATAATGTATTATTTGTTTCAGAGGTACAGGTCTGTGATTCATCAGTCTTAC